TTTTTTTTATCAATACACAAGCAAGCAAGCACATGACCATGCATGAATTATTCTCTGCTCTATGGATGTAACTGCCTTTCAGCTCCTGCTACTATGACTTCTTTGATATGATCAACTGCAACCCGGAATTGTAAGCCAAATAAACCTCTTTCTCTCCTAAGTTGTTTTTGTCAAGGTATTTTATCACAGCAACAGAAATGAAACTAGTACTGCTGAGTTAAGAAAACTGTCTTTTAAAAGTGTGATGGGAAACCTGTGGAGAATTTTTCTAAGTAGCATAATTGGCTTGTGTTCTAAAAACATCACTTGCAGCTCTGTGGTAAACCAACTGAGGTGATGAAGTGAAGGCAACAAAACTAGTTACTGCGAGAACCGAGGGAGTTTATTTTAGGGCTCAAAGTATGGTGATGGTAGAAGAGAAGATAGAGAAAAGAGGCAGATTCTTGAAATATTTTGGATGCTTGACAAGCCCAGAAGGAAATGGAGTTAAGAGTAGATCAAGGCCGCCTTTGGGTTTGTGCAACCACTATTAGAGATGATTCTTCTAGATCATGAACAGGCAAGAGTACAGGCAGAGGTCAGCCAGGGTGCTTGAGGACCAGACTTTTGTGTTTTTGTGGGAAGGACAGATTTTGCTATGAAAGAAACTACTGCTTTAGGCATGTCAGCTTCTACCTGCTGGTTCAGCATTCAAGTAATCAGGTGGGCAAGTGCCTCAAAGGTCTGGAATTCAAGGGAAATGTCTAGGCTAGAGAGAGAAATTTGAAAAGCATTAATATATAGATGAATCATAAAGATACAGACCGGATGAAGTCGGTCATCCAGGAAAGAGTATAGAAAGAAGGCAGAGAAGTGAAGAGTACTTGCAGTACTGGGGAGAAAACCAGAGGTACAAAGAAAACCAAAGAGGAGAGCTATCACAAGAGCCTGGAGAAATGTATCAAGAAGAAGTGCAGGGGGGCAGTACTGGAGAGATGGCTTAGAGGTTAAGAGGACTGGCCGTTCTTACAGAAGATCTGGGTTCAGTTCCCAGCATCCACATAGCAGCTAACAACCTCCCATAACTCCAGTTCCAGGGGATCCCGTGCCCTCTTCTGTCCTCCACAGGCACTGCATGACACAGGTGCACTTACATACATGCAGGCATGATACTCATACATACACATAAAATTTAAAAAATATAAAATTAAAATCAAAAAGAGAAATAGTAGTTAGACATGGTGACACATGCCTTTAATCCCAGAACGCAGGAGGCAGAGGCAGGGGGATCTCTGCAAGATGAAGGCCAGCCTACTCTATATGATGAACTCCAAGCCAGCTGGAGCTACAATGAGACCCTGTCTCAAAAAATAAATAAAATAATTTTAAAAACAAAAATAAGAGATAGTAAACTAAAAAAGAAGAAAGGGTAGGGCTGGGAAGGTAGCTCAGTGGTAGAGAATCTGCCTAGTATATATGAGGCCTTAGGTTCAATCCCCAGCACTGAGAGGAGAAGAAAAAAAAGCCCAGTTAACTGTACCTGTATCACAAGCTGTTGAAAGATTGAATAAAATGACAACTGAGGTCCTCCATTGAGCCACTAGGTTTGACCACATGTGAGTCTTGAGAAATATCATTTTATTTAATTCTTAGGGGAAAAAAATCCACTTGTAGGATTCGAAGGAGCAATGACAAGATAGAGATCGCAAATTTGAATTTATCTGGTTTTTAGGGAGTTTTGCAGAGAAATCGAATGATGGTATAAGGGAGAAGTGTAGCCAAGTAGAGCTTTAGAATTTGGGGTTGGAGGTCCTGCTGGAGTCAGTGAGTAAAGCTGCTTATTGCCAAGTATGATGACCTGAGTTTGATCCCCAAGACCCACGTGGTAGAAGAAGAGAACTGACTCCAGCAAGTTGTCCTCTGACCTCCACATACAAGATGTACACACACACACACACACACACACACACACACACACACAAATTTTTTAAATTAGAAGAAAGAATTTGGGGTTGGAATTGACATTGGGTTGTGGTTCAGTGGCAGAGCACATGTATAGCATGAGAGAGACTCTGGGCTCAATCCCTAGCCTCCCTCCACCCAAATTAGGTAAGATCCCAATAGGAATGATTACTAAAGAAAATGAGTGAGCTGATCATGTCAGTGTACTCCTGTAATCCCAGCACTTGGGAGACTGAGGCAGAAGGGTCCCAAGTTCAATATCACCCCCTAAGCTGTATAGTATAAATCCCTATGTCTGATCCTTAGGACAAAAAAAAGTAGAAGATGGCAGTCTTATATGCAAAATGCTATGTTCACTAGCATGAACATTTTTTAAATTATGATTATTTTAAATATTTTATTATTTTTATTTTTTATGTGTATGCGTGTATTGATTGCCTGCATGTAGGTAAGTGCACCCATGTTGTGTAATGCCTGCGGAGGACAGAAGAGGCTGTCAGATCCCCTGGAACTGGAGTTACAGACAGTTGTTAGCTGACATGTGGGTGCTGGGATTCGAACCCAGGCCTTCTTCAAGAACAGTCAGTGTTCTTAACCACTGAGCCAACTCTCCAGGCCCAAATTATGATTATTTTAAATTTTATTTCATTTCTATGTTATGAGTATTTTGCCTGCATGTATGTATGTGTACCATGTGCGTACAATGCCTGCAGAGGCCAGAAGAGGGTGTTGGATCCCCTGAAACTGGAGTTATGGCCTCTCAGTTTGTTGCTATCATGTGAGTAGTAGTGGGAACCAAGTCTTCTATAAGAGCACCCAGTGCTTTTAACTCTGAGCCATCTCTTCAGTCCTTCAATAAGCATTTTTTTAAAAGTGGGAGAAGACTGTCACTGAAAGAAAGAAACTAACGAGAAAGGAAACTAGGAATGATAACTTTTGGACATACTCAGTTTAGTGAGATACTTAAGCAAATATTAACTAACTTAGCTATAAGTACAAGAAATTGGAGCCTCAAAATAATAATGGTCCTTAAGTGAAACAATGCATTATGGGAGTTGGAGAGATGACTCAGCAGTTAAGAACACTGGCTGTTCTTGAGGAAGACCCAGGTTCGAATCCCAGCACCCTACAACTAACAACTACAGCTAACAGCTGTCCATAGCTCCAGTCCCAGGGGATCCGACACCTCTTCTGTCCTCCAGGCATAGAACGACACGGGTGCACTTACCTACATGCTGGCAATACATGCATACACATAAAATAAATAAAATATTTTAAAAGAGAAACAACACATTTTATAAAGAATCAATGCAATTCATAGACCCTATTTAAGTTATCCTATATCAATTTAACAAGGATTTACCTTGCCAAGATTCTTGGCACTTTTATTAACTTAAATTGCATTGGGAAAAAGTATAATAGTAATTGAAAAAGCAACTAATTATAAGTAATTAAAAGCCATATAATGTTTATACCACAATTAGTGTTTGTGGTGGTTTAGTAGGCAGTCTTCATTTCAATAAACAGCCATCGAATAATCGAATAGCTTATAAAACACAGAAATACTCCTTTAATCTTTATTCCAAGTATAACAACCACATTCTCCTTTAATTACTATTATAATAAAATAAGTAACATTTATTATATTTTGCCCCAATCCCCAGTTTGAGTTAGATATTTTTAAAAAACATAGCAAAAGTAGTGCATATACCTGCATCACCACACAGCTTCTTTCAACAAATTTCATAGAGACATGGATCCATGTTCTTTCAGGACAAGAACTACCTTGTTGGTTTGTGCAAATTAAATTTCATCCCTGTGCTTTTCAGTGGATTTTTCTTTAAAGATAACAGGGAAAGGCCACTTTGTCTTGTGACAATGGTAATTTCTTTGTTTTGTTTTTGGCTTTTTCGTTTGTTTTTTTGAAATAGCGTCTCCCTGCAGTCTTAGCTGGCCTGGAACTCACTATGTAGACCAGGCGGACCTCAATCTCACAGAGATCCACCTCCCTCTGCCTCTACTGGAATTAAAGGTGTGTGCCACTGATATTTTTATTTTCCCCAGTATTTCCAAGTTAAGTTGTAACTTTGTTACCACTTTTTGCTACCTCATATAAAAACTGACTTATACTTCATCATTAGTGAAAACTCTTGGAAATCAGTTATATTAATTTCCGTGAAAATCCTTCTTAAGCATTTGAGATAGCACTATAAATTTGAGGGGGAGGATTTGAGAGGATCATTTTCAATTAGGTCATCACATCACATCACTTTAAGAACTAGTTCCTAGAAATAGTGACCTGATGAAACACAGGTTGCTCAAGGTGGCTGCTGCACTCAGCCAGCCCTGAAGCTAGGCGAGACACGCGGTGGGAGGTAGGTAGAGCCAGAGCCCTCCAAGGCTGGGCGCCACGTTGCTCTTCCCTTTTGAAAAAGGAAGACAACGCTTCTGGCTATTGTGTAAACCGGTCGAGAACTGCATTCATTCTCGCATCAGATAAAGCAGGACCAGAATTAAAGCGCATTCCAATTCGACTCCAGGCAACATGTACGTCACCGACAAACACTTAAGTTTTATTGCCTTGGCTGAGTTCGTCTGGAGGAAACCCTTCAAAGAATGGCTCAAAACCTCAGCAGAACGGGGAACTGAAGGGGAGGATCAAAGCCACCACGCCAAGCCTGCAGCAGCGACCACTCCTGCTGACCCTCGCTCTGACACTCCCGCGCGTTCTCGGCGAACCAGTTGTTAAATGCCGCGCGGTACAGCTTGCCCGCCTCTGTTCCAGCTCTCCCCACCCACTCTGCATTCAACCCCACATTCCCAAGTGCCTCGCAGGACAACAGTGCCGTCTCCCGCTCGAGGGACAGCAGTAGCTCCATCTGCAACCCAGCGCCCAGGTCCCTGCACTCCCAGTAGGCCCGTTGCCAGCCAACCGGCGCGCGCGACGTGTGAGTGACACGGAGCTTCCCCTATGAACTCTGGGGGCGGGGTATGTCGTCACTTCCTTTCTGGGCTGCTACCTTATATAAGGTCGGCGTTCACGCACAGCCCTCGCTTACACAGTATGGCCGGCGACATTAGCTAGCGCTCGCTCAACTCTCTCTAACGGGAAAGCAGCGGACTACAAGAGACTGAACTGTATCTGCCTCTACTTCCAACAGACTCACGTTCAACTTTCGCTCACAAAAATAGCCGGGAAAATTTTATTATTCCTTTTTTTAAAAAAAAGTTAATATAAAATTGTAGCAAAAAAAAAGGAACCTGAACTTTAGTAACACAGCTGGAACAATCCGCAGCGGCGGCGGGAGCAGCGGGAGAAGAGATTTAATTTAGTTGATTTTCTGTGGTTGTTGGTTGTTCGCTAGTCTCACGGTGATGGGAGCTGCACATTTTTTCGAAGGGACCAAGAAGCTGCTGGAGGTTTGGTTCTCCAGGCAGCAGTCCGAAGCAAGCCAGGGATCTGGGGATCTTCGCACTATTCCGAGGTGGGTGCCCGCGGCTCTCCTGGCAGACGGGGCCTGAGGGTGGGTCTCTGCCGCCTGAGAGGCTGCGGCCGATCCGGCTCCTGCACCCTTCAGGTGGGGCCAGCTCGGCGGGCGGGAATCGCTGCTGCGGCCGAAGGCACGGGGTCTAGGCGAAAGACGGCGTCCACGCGGGGCGGGAACCGGCTTCTCTCGCCGCCGTCGTCTGGCCGGCAGTGCCCTGGGGGAGGGGAGGAGGCCGGTGCGGCCGCGTGCTCAGGTAAAGTCCCCGGCGGCTCGGCGCGGGCCTCCCGGCTCACCCGCAGGCGGTCGGGGCCTCGGCTGGGGCGCGGGGCCGCGCTGTGTCTGTGGCAGGTGTGGGCCTGGCCAGGAGGGGGGCGGCGAGCAGGCCTCCAGCCGCGGTGTCGGCCGCGTGTGGCGCTCGGGCGGCTGGATTGGGCGGGAGGGGCCGTGTCGCAGTGGCTGGGCCCCTCCGCCGCCCCAGCGAGCTCTGCAGCAAAGCGCCTCGGCGGCGGACCCTCCGCCTGCTCCCCAGGCTCCTGACCTTGGGTTGTGTAACCTGTACCTAGTCGGGATCTGGGCAAGAGCGGGCTGGCGGGGGTTTGCGTGGACGGGCTCGGCCGGCCAGGGACCTTAAGCTGGGTCCGAGGAACCTGAGGCCCCACTCCCGTCCCGGCAGTCACGCGTCAGGGCGTCCCTAAAGGGAGCTTCTGGTGGTCTTTCTATAGAGATCGAGTCGCACGGGCGACACCGAGAGAGCCTGGGCCCAGCTCCCGGCGAGGTGACACCCAGCAGCGACCCCAGGCTGCCTTTTGGGGTCCCCTCTTCGGGTTTCGCCGTGCTCCTCGCACTAGTGCGACTAGGGTGGCGGAGGGACCCGCGTGGCCCGTTTCATTGAGGGGCCGACCAATGAGCTTCTGGCCCCGGCCGAAAGCCTGGCCCCAGGGTGGGGACCAATGGGCGTTTTAGGAATGTTGCCTGCGCTGAGCAAACGTCCTCTGACAAAAAGCGAGAGGAGAATCCCGGCGGCCACGTGCTGCCGAGACTTTAAGGCAGATAGGGAAATGCAGTTCATTTCAGTTATGAACATCATTGTAGGGAAAAAATATAGCCAAAATATAACAGCTCTCGCTTTGCCAATTTCAGTTGTAAATACTTACACAGTTCATTTTCTCATAATAACTATAGAGAAGCTGCTTGCTTTTCCTATTGGACTATAGGCGTTAGGAAAAACCAGGGCTATCCGGATTGTTAACTAGAAAATCTTGGCAAGAATTGTCTAAGGAAAGAAGAAATAAGTTACAAAGAGGTTGGGAAGCCTAAAGAAATTTGTAGCACACATTTAATAAAGGGAAGAATTTTGTTCTCCCCAACCCCTTAGTCAAGAATGCCAGAGGATTGACGTTAGCTGATTAAAATGTCTCCTGAGTAGAAGAGGGGAGAGAGAAAGGCCTTTTTGAAAAGGCAGCCTGCTTTTTTAAATGCTTCAGAACCACATTTAGTTTGTACGTAACCAGCAGATGAAATTTTTACTGTTTCAGTGTGATTCTTAAAATGATGGCAAAAGTTAAACCTCCAAGAACAGAATATTCTGCTTTGTATACGATTTAATGCCACATTTTATAGACATTTAGCACTGGTCAAACCACTATTGGAGGAAGTCTGACCACCACTCCACAGCTTAGCCTGAAAGCTAAGCAAGTAGTAACTGAAATCTGTCATTGGGTGGAAGGAAGAGGTTCACTGTTAACTATTCTCCAGTGACCAAGCAAGCAAGGGTGCACTAGTCTTGTTACTCACTATGGAGCTTTTTTAAAAGTCGGGAAAATGGTCTGTGGTTGATAAATCACCTAAGCTCAGTAACTACCAAGAAGGCATCATTTGGAGGAGCCAATGCTTTGTTCCTGAAATGGAGATATTGCAGTGGGGAGAATTAGATAAATTGTAATATATTGCTTTTGAATTTTTTTTCCTTTTTTTTTGAAACCAAGACTGGAGAAATGAACAGTATTAGAGTCTAATATAAAATACTGTTTATTAAAGATGTCATGGCAATTTGATGTACAGCCGATAATTTTATTCAGAGAGGCAATATGGTCACTGTAGTTTTAGCTTTTCTCCATACTCTTTTACAAAATAATCTTGAACTTTGTTTTATTGGGTAGTAAAAATTTGAAAATAAAAGATAAGGATGCTGTGGGAGAGTTCCTAGAAAAATTCCTTTCCAAAACTGATGGAAGAAATAGAAAAATTAACAATAGTCCTATGAAAATGACAAATTGAATTAGTCGTTAATTATAAAGAATTTTCACATCTACCAAGAAGTAGAGAGAACACTTTGACTTACACCCTCAGGTCTGGTAGTTTTTTTTTTTTTAGACAGAGTCCCTATAGCCCCAGCTGGCCTGGAACTCCTTAAGGAGACCCAACTCATTGATTGCAGAGATTCACCTGCCTCTGCTTCCTAAGTGCTGGAACTATGGTGCCTGTTTTTTAATGTGAGTGTATTGCCTGCTTGTAAGTGCACCCATGTTGTGCAATGCTGTCCAAGGTCAGAAGAGGGCGTCAGATCCCTTGAATGGTTGTTAGCTGACAAATGGATGCTGGGAACCAAACCCGGGTCCTGCAAGAGCAGCCAATGGATGCTCTTAACTTCTGAGCCATCTTTCCAGCCCCAGCCCCACCCCTACAAATCCACTCAGTCTATTTATTTGCATTTGCCAGAGAAAATAGCAAACATCTCCATATAAAGACAAAAATTTTCTCTCTTTTTTTTTTAATATTTATTTTATGTGTATGAGTGTATTACCTGCTTGTATGTGAGTGCGCCTGTGTAGTGCAATGCCGCAGAGATCAGAAGAGTGCTTCAGATTCCTCTGGAACTGGAGTTAAGGACAGCTCCTTGTAGCCACCATGTGGGTGCTGAGAATCGAACCCGGGTCCTCTGCAAGAGTAGTCACTAGTGCTCTTAACCGCTGAACCATCTCTCCAGCCCACTGGGAACCTAGTCTTTAACAGCAAGCTATCCCTCCAGCCCAAAGACAAAAATTTTCATAGTAGCTTTGTGATAACCCCCAGACTTGGAAAGAACTCCCTATTTTAAAAAGCACCTCCACAAAATGTTTTAGAAGGAGTGCACTTTTTTTTTGTCTTGTCTTGTCTTTTTGAGACAGGGTCTCCTCTCTGTCCTGGAACTCACTATGTAGACCAAGCTGGCCTTGAACTCACAGAGATCTGCCTGCCTCTGCTTCCCGAGTACTGGGATAAAGGAGTGCACCACCACGCCTGGCTAAATCGTGCATTTCTATAAAACTAGGAAATGCAAACTAATCTGGTAGGTCAGTGGTGGAAGAGAGTGTAAAGGGAGCCATGGATAGCGATAGTATGAAGGCCCTTTTAAGGATGCGTTGCTGGTTGATGAACTCGGTCTCTTCATGTTTATAAAAGACATTTCTTGTATTTTCATATCTTTTGGGATATACTCTGTGAAATACTTGAAGACTTGGATTAGCATATTCTTTCTCTTCTGTTTTTAGTTTTTGAGACAGTGTCTTCTGTAGCCTTGGCTCTGTTGGGACTTAGTTTAGCCTCTGCCCTCCAAGTGCTAGGATTGTGGGCATGCACCAGTGTCGGTTCTGGTTGCACCTCCCTGTAATCTCAGCACTCAGGTTAAAGGACTGGTAAGATGGCTCAGTTGATAAAGGGCTAGGACCTGAGTTTGATCAATGGAACCTTACGTGTAGAACCAAAGGTTAAGAAAAACAAAACAAAACATACATTTATAATACCTTACAGAGGCAGAGACAAGTAGGCTCTCAGCCAGTGAGAACCTGTGTGCAGAGAAGTGGACAGCATTTCTTTTGGGGGTGGTTTTTTGTTGCTGTTGCTGTTGGTTTTTTTTTTGTTGGTTGTTTTTGATAGGATCTCTCCTTGCACCAGCTGACCTGGAACTCCACCTGCTTCTACCTCCAGAGTGCTGGCATTAAAAGCATGTACCACCAGGCCTGGTTTCTTTTCCCTCTTTTTTTTTTTTTTTTTTTTTTGGTTTTCAAGAAAAGATCTTGATCTCTCAAAGGGAAATCTTGACTGGTATGTCCTGGGTTAAATTATGTTTGAGGGGCTGGAGAGATGGCTCAGCAGTTAAGAGCACTAGCTGCTCTTGGAGAGGACCCAGTTTCCATTCCCAGCACCCACATGGCTGCTAGTAACTGTCCATAACGCCAGTTCCAAGGGATCCGAGGCCCTCTTCTGACCTCTTCAAGGCATTGCACAACATTGAATAAAATATTTTTGTTTAGATCTCAGTTTAGATATGTACAGGTGTCTAAAGAAATGATCTGTGCAGATTTCTAAAATACACTTAACCTCACAGAATATTTCAATTTAAAATATAACTGGGCTTGGTGGCACACACCTTAATCCTAGCACTTGGGGGAAGGATCTCTGAGAGCAAAGGTCAGCTGCAGTGGTATGTATAGTTCTCTACATTTGAGACTTAGTCTCTAAACAAAACAAAGAAGAAAAAAAGGATAGTTTCTTGGTTATTAAACTTGGTGAGAAAAGATCATTCTCTGACTATAAAATCTTTCTGCTTTATAGTTCACCAGACCTTAAGCTGTTTTAGTAATGAATTGAGTTTAACTGGGAAATTCTAGTGGAGGTGAAAAGGATATATGCTTTATTTGGAAAATTAATTAGATACATTTTTGTTGTTGGTGGTGGAAGTGGCATTTACAATTGGTGGGATATTCTTAACCTGCTTTTCAAGTTTTATAAGCTGTGATTTTCAGTAAAGGATTATTGCTGTTGCAGGTAGAAAATCACACCCTCAGCATTAACATTCAGCAATTCATGCCTTATTTGACTGCATCATTGCACAGAATTTCAATTTAGTCATTTACACTGAAAGAATTTACTGTGCATTGCCAAACTTTTAAGTGTAAATGTTTAGAGTAGAAAAGCTTCCTAGGTGGACATGGTGGCCCAGCACTTGGGAGGCAGAGGCAGGCAGATCTCTGTGAGTTCAAGGCCAGCCTGGTGTACATAGTGAGTTCCAGGACAGCTGGGGCTACAGGGAAACCCTGTCTCAAAAAGACCAAAAAAAAAAAAAAAAAGCTTCCTATTGAGGAATTAGGCTTCTCACTGCATTCCTCACACTTTAAAAACAGTTTGAATTGTGGCTTCCAAACTACCTAGCTGTGATTTACACGTGCTCTAGCATGTGATAGGATTTATTTTTCTAAAACTATTGTGAATAATGCTGCTATCATGATTACATAGAAGTACAAGTATTTCTGGGCTGGAGAGATGGCTCAGCAGTTAAGAGCACTGACTGCTCTTGCAGAGGACCTGGGTTCGATTCCCAGCACCCACATGGCGGCTACAAACCGTCCTTAACTCCAGTTCCAGGGGACTCCGAAACCCTCTTCTGACCTCCACAGCATTGCACAACACGGGTGCACTCACATACATGCAGGCAGTACACTTATACATAAAATAATAAAAAAGAAAAAAAAATTTTTTTTTAAGTACAAGTATTCTAGACCCAGCTTTCAGATTTTTGAGGAACTTCTATACTGTTTTCCATGACAGACTACTTTTATTTTGAAAGTATCTGAATTTTGGTTGGAATTCAGAGCCTTGTTTATGCTAGGTAGGGACTCTGTTACTAATCTACAATCCCAGTCCACCATTTTCTGTTCTGTCGTCAGTATGCATGAATTCCAATTCGTCTGCACCCTTGCTAATAATATGTCTTATAGTTGTTGATCGTAGTCATCTAAGTAGTGAATCTGAGGCAGTATCTTCTTGTGGTTTGTTTGTAGCCCAGACTGGCCTCCTACTGCCTTGCCTCCCTGTACTGGAATACAGGGGTGGTATACTTTTAATTCCAGCAGTCAGGAGGCAGAACAGGCAGATAGATCTCTGTGAGATGGGGGCCAACCCGGGCTACATCGTGAGACTTTGTCTCAGTATAAAACAAAACAAAAAACAGTTGGACATTATCATCAACCAAATGGCTATGAAGATATGCTTATCTAAGAGCCAGAATGCTCAAAAAAGAAAAGGTGGCAAGAAAGATAAAGGTGAAGAGGTCCATATAGTACTCTACATGTACATAAAAGAAAGGTGAAGAGCCAGCTACTGAAACAGTTGGCTATATTGGCATGTTTCTATGGGAGAGTATACCTACTTTTATTAAATAAAGTCTTACTAGAACCTACAGTACACACCCCCCTTTATATAGCATTTATGGTTATTTTTGCCAGCCAAAGGCAGAACTGAGCAGCTGAAAGCTTCTTGGAAAAATTGCTAAGTAGCTTTTTGCAAAAAGTGTGCTGACTCTTGTTTTAGAGGAAAGTTTTTCCCATTTTTTTCTGTCCACATAATGGAAAGTCAAAAGTGCTTTATATAGTTGACTAAAGTGTATGTCTGATTAGAATATCATATTGGGTTAGGTAATAATGATGTAAGATGCTGCTTTATTCCCAGACACATAGCACTGAGATTTCTAGCCAATATTATGAACTGTTTTGCAGTGTTGCTTGCATGTACGTGTGTTTAGGGCTGATCATTTTGTTAAATATTCACCCCAGGGTGGGATCTCATGAAACAGCCCCCAAGTCAACTGGTGTGCCATTGTGCATGCAGGTCTTGCTTGGCAACCATATTGTTGAGATTTCATGGGTACACATTCTAGAAGACACTAACAGCAGTGTCCTGATCCTCTGCCTCTTACAATCTTTCAGCTGCTACCTCTTTTGCAGTGTTCCCCCAGTCTTGGGTATAGGGGTTGTATTTCAGGTGTACCAATTGGAGATGGGCACATCATGGTCAGTGATTCTCTGCAGTTTGACTAGTATAAGTCTTAGTGATTATTTTTTACTTTTATGCCAGCTGTTTGAATTCTTTTTGGGGCAGGTAGCCTTTTAATATGCAGATCATCTAGCCTTGAACTCTGCCTGCCTCTGCTTCCTGAGCTCTAATAGGTGTCTAGCTCATGCCTGGTCCCCAAGTGTTTTAATTCTTATTGTCTAGTAGATAATTTTGATAAGATTCTCAGGTTTTCATTTATATCTGGTTATTCCTTTAGGAATATTTTTGAAATATTTGAATTGTATGTAAATATGAAATTCAAAGATAGTACTTAGTTGCCTTATGTAAGAAGACTTAAAAATTTAACCTTGTGTTATTTGGAAATCAGTCTCATTTTCTGAGGCAGGTAGAGTCTCATGTAGATCAGTTTTCAAACTTTAATTTCTGATTCTCCTGCTTCAGCCTCCCAAGTGCTAGGGATTACTGACTGGCATGCACTACCATACCTGGCTTAGAAGTCTCTTCAGTCTTAATTACATTTTCTTTTTCTTTTTTTGGTCTTTTTGAGACAGGGTCTCCCTGTAACCTCAGCTGATCTGGAACTCGCTATGTAGACCAGACTGCCTCCTGAGTGCTGGTATTAAAGGTGTATACCACCATGCCTGGTGCACCATATTTTCTTGATTAGAAAACACAGTTTCTATTTTTGGAATCAGATTCTTTGTGTGGTACCCAGACTGGTCACAAGTTGCTAGTCCCAAATGATACTCCTGCCTTAACCCCCTAAATAACTGGGGCTACAGCTGTATGTGTCTAGCTTCTCTGCCCGCCCCCTTGTATCTTTTTATTTGAAAAGTTAAAAATGCTCAGTGAAATGTGATTTGTTTTTAGATTGGTGATTAGCTGGCAGTTTGATGGAAGGAAATAATATCTAAGAGTAACAAATTACTTTTGTCATAAAACAGTTTTCCATGCCAGTTTGGAAAATGATGGTAGTTTTGAGTTTGGCCCATGCTAACCTGAAAATTGCAATCCTCCCCATCATTCTCTGGGTTTTGATTATTAGTTGTGTGGGGGATGATTACTTGTGTGTGTCTCCTTGGTCAGTGAACCAGAGCCTCATACATACATACATACCAGGCAAGTGCTCTCCTACTGATGCACATCTCCAACCTTGAACTTCTTAAGTCAGTATTGAGAGTTAATAGTTTTCCTTGGTTTATGGGCTTTTGGGTGTCTTATATAAATGGCTTATTTTACATTTTTGCTTTTTTTTTTTTATAAATACAAAGTATAATTTCCTATTCTTTTTCAGATAGCAAAATATATCCATCTTTTGTCCAGCTGTGTTAACACAGGCTATTGAAACAAAGTAAATGTTGATATTCATAGGAGAAGCTGAGGCGATGTAAAGTGGTATGACAAGAAAAAGTAGGAAAGTGTGGTCTGACTGGAAAACTATATATGGGAGCAGGTTTTTTAAAGTAGGCAAGTACTGTTACTAATTTCACTTTCTGTTAAATAATAGATCTGAGTGGGATGTCCTTTTGAAGGATGTGCAATGTTCAATCATAAGTGTGACAAAAACTGACAAGCAGGAAGCTTATGTACTCAGGTAAGTTCTATAAACAGGTATTAACTATCAATTTGCAGTCCTTCTTAGAGCTTTTAAAGCCTTGCCTAGTAGCTTTTCATGATGGTTGCCATGTTTCCCTCAAAGTTAGCAGTAAAGTCTGATGAAAGAAAAGTATTGTGTTCTAACACTCCCATCCCTGATCCCTACCCCAGTTTGAAAATTTCCTTCATTAATAATTGGGTTACTGCGTTGGTGTACAAAAAGCCATTAACCCTTTTTAAAACATTAGATAATAAACTTTAATCAATAAATGCTTTGAATATATAGCTTTACTAAGATTGGGCTTGACATGCAGCCATTTGTCAAAGTGCTTACTGTGCACTGTTCCCAGAGTATGTCAAGTCATCCCTTGTAGAGCTTATTACCTAATGAAAGAAATGATGAGATGTTTGTCGAAAAAGCATGTGAGAGGGTTGAATTGTATGTGAGATGGAATGAGTATGTATTTAAATGATGGTAGGTATTTATCAGTGATTCTTTGTTGAGGTATTATGTATAACTAGACATCTGGAGGCATTAATAGCCATATGTTTGTGGTACGAAATCCAAAAAAGAAAGATTCAGTGTTCTCAAATGCTAGCACTCCTAGACTTGACAAATGCAAAAGGGAAAGGAGCTATATATAAGGAACTAATAGTGCTTTGCACCTAACTCAAGGCAAAAGAACCTGAACCTTGTTTTTGTATAGTAGAGGAAAAATGCACTGAAGTACATTATTTGCTTCCTTGAGATACTATTGAAAATTGCTAGCTAAAAATTATAAATGGTAGCCAGGTGTGGTGGCATATGCCTTTACCCAGCACTCAGGAGACAGAGACAGGCAGATCTCTAAGATTAAGGCCAGCCAGGTCTACATGGTGAATATCAGGCCAGCTGAGGCTACTGGAAGACCCTGTCTCAAAAAAGACCAAAAAAAAAAAATTTATAAATGATAATACAATAATAGGTTAATTGTATTCTCGGTAATACATAAATACTATAATGATCTTGTCATTGTTTTCCTATTGCAGTGAGAGTAGCATGTTTGTCTCCAAGAGACGTTTCATTTTGAAGACATGTGGTACCACCCTCTTACTGAAAGCACTGGTTCCCCTGTTGAAGCTTGCTAGGGATTACAGTGGGTTTGACTCAATTCAAGTAAGTATTCAGACACATTAAGGACTGATAAGCAGTAATTCCTTTAGCTTCTAAATTTAATTTTTTTTTTTTTATTTATGTGATTGGGTGTATTGCCTGCATTGTATGTAAGTGCACCCGTGTGGTGCAGTGCCCTCAGAGGTCAGAGAGAGTGTCAGATCCCCTGGAACTGGAGTTATGGACAGTTGTTAGCCACCATGTGGGCTGGGAATTGAACCTGGGTCCTCTCCAAGAACAGTCAGTGCCCTTAACAACAGCCATGTCTCCAGCCCCTAGTTTCTGAAGTGTAATGTATTACCTCATAATGGAAGTAAGGAATTTCATGAAGAACTGTCTAAAGCATAGCACGTAAATTGGGTAACTGACTTTAAAACAGATATTTGTGGGTCAGCGAGATAGATCAGTGCTGTGCAAGTCTGATGTTCTTGAGTTTGATCCCCAGGAGATCACATTAGAAATCACATTAGAAACCACCACTCGTAGGCCTGGTGTGCTGGCACTTTAATTCCAGCATTTGGGAGGAAGTGGATCTGTGAGTCAAGGCCAACCTAGTCTACATAGTAAATCTTGGGAGTTCGAGAGCAGGGGCCGGGGGAAGCTTTATGTAGTGCACACTTACAATCCCAGTGCTTGGATTTGAGGGGCCAAGGCAGGAGGAACTCATCTTTGAGGCCAGTCCAGTAGACATAGATTGTACTTTGTTTTTTTTTGCGGGGTGGGGGGGTGTTTTATTTTTATTTTATGTGTATGAGTTATTGCCTGCATGTGGGTCCTCTGCAAGAGCAGTCAGTGCTCTTAATCATTTAGCCATCTCTCCAGCCCATTTTTGTGTTTTTAAAGAATTGCTGCTCTATGAAGAAATGTGATTAGTCTCTGTTGTATGACATCAGTAGACAGGCTATTACTCTCTATTCTAGAATAAAAGAGTCACTGTAGTATTGTAAGTGTACATTAGTATAAGGTCAGTCAGGTAGCTAATTTGTATGCCTCAGTTGCAACTTAGGGATGGAGATTGTAGAATTTTGAGTTTGCTGTATGTAGAAAATAGTTGATTTAGAAAATGTTCTTAACCTGTTGAAGCTTGCTAGGGATTACAGTGGGTTTGACTCAATTCAAAGCTTCTTTTATTCTAGTAAGAATTTCATGAAGTCTTCTCACCAAGGGTACCCACACCGGAATTTCCAGGAAGAAATAGAGTTTCTTAATGCAATTTTCCCAAGTAAGTTTAAGTAGAAAAAAGTAAGAGGGTACAACCTTTTAGAGATTTTTGTGATATATGAGCATGTATATGTAAATGTAACACTAAATATTTCATAATCTCTAGATCCTATATATAAAATAATTTTTTAAATTTTCTTTTTGTCTTTTTGAGATAGGGTCTCCCTGTAGCCCTAGCTGTCCTAGAACTCACTATGTAGACCAAGCTGACCTCAAACTCATGAAGATCCGCCTGCCTCTGCCTCCCAAGTGCATGTGCCACCATGCCCAGCAAAATAAATTTTTAAGAGTAGCCAAGTGTAGTGGTGGGAGCTTGTACTACTTTCAAAGCCTTGCTAACTACTTGGCCACTGCCTCCAAAAAAGTAACACATAATTGCTTAAGCCAAATTGGCAATATTTTTTCCATTCTTTCATTCCAAGTTTTTATTATAGAGAATTAAAGATTAGGTAACTTAGCGCCCTTGCAAAGTCATTTACATACACAGATATAAAAATGAAAATATGAAGTCAGGTTGGTAGCATATGCCTATAATCCCAACAGAAGCAGGGGGATCTCTGAGTTCCAGGACAACCAGGGCTACATAGTGAGACCTTGTCTTCAAAAAAACAAAAACCAGTCTTGGGGCCAAAGGAGAGGTATTTGTAGCACAGTACTAGTGTGGTGGGAGACACCTACTTGGCATACTTGAGGCCCTGAGGCCAGCAATATAAGAAAAGAAAATCTTCTGACTTCTGCCAGTAATTTATGCCATCAAATACTACCCTTAGCCAGAGTGATGGATATTTGGTGCACTTTGCCCTGTGCTGGGGGAAGCCTTGAAACATTTTGGGAAGGAAATTTACATGAAATAGGCTTGTTAGAATAATAAACAAGTGACCAAATTCCATTCCCTATGTCAGTCTTAAGAGGCATAGTTCTCTCAGCCACTCAGATCAATACACAAGCACAAGTTTATCTTTCAGTGACCAGAAAAATGTGCTTTCAGAGCAAAGGAGGTAGGTGATCCTGCCTCTTGGAATTTACCCACTTCAATTTCCCATCACTGATGACATGTCTAATAGGTGCCAGATAGAATAACACTCCTAGTCATTGAGTGAGTGATAAAAAGACATCCTACTAGTTGTTTTTAATACTGATTTCTACATTCCCTTTCCTTACAGATGGAGCAGCATATTGTATGGGACGTATGAATTCTGACTGTTGGTATGTTTGTGATTTTGTGGATTTTTTTGTTGTTGTTGTTAACTATATATGGTTTATTTGACTAGGTCTGATGGCCCATGTTTGTAATCTCAGCTATTCTGGAGACTGAGGCATGAAGATCAAGTGTAAAGGATTAGAGATGTAGCTCGGTGGTAAGGGCGCATAGCGTAGGAGGCATAGTGTGTGTGAGGATCAATGATGAGTACTGCAAGAGTAAAAAAAGATTTGTTTTCAAAGCCAGGTGTGGTGGCGCATGCTTTTAATCCCAGCACTTGGGAGGCAGAGGAAGGCATATCTCTGAGTTCCAGGCCAGCTGGGCCTATAGGGAGACCCAGTCCCAAAATGACGAAAAAATAAATTTGTTTTGAAACCAAGTTGGAGTTTTTAAGAAGAGGTGGGTGTGGGCTTCTTGAAAGAGTCACTGTGACTTATTCTAAACTATCAGCTGTCACTGTTAGAGACTATTTTTTGCTTTTGTATAGGTACTTGTATACTTTGGATTTCCCAGAGAGCCGAGTAATCAATCAGCCAGATCAAACCCTGGAAATTCTGATGAGTGAGCTTGACCCAGCAGTTATGGACCAGTTCTACATGAAAGATGGTGTTACTGCAAAGGATGTCACTCGTGTAAGCATTTTCAAGAAAAAATTTTGCTGGATCTTACTATGTAAAAACTATCTTTTCTGTTTAGCTCAGTTCAGTTTTCAAATTTGGATCTAATTTGGTCTTTTTCTCAGGAGAGTGGAATTCGTGACCTGATACCAGGTTCTGTCATTGATGCCACACTGTTCAATCCTTGTGGCTACTCGATGAATGGAATGAAATCGGATGTAAGTAATTAAAATCTTTCTTCTGTCATTATTTATTTAATTTACATTTTCCCTTTCTATTACTAACAGCAAAAAAAAAACAACTTTTTCTAAGGGAACTTATTGGACTATTCACATCACTCCAGAACCAGAATTTTCTTATGTTAGCTTTGAAACAAACCTAAGTCAGACCTCCTATGATGACCTGATCAGGAAAGTTGTGGAAGTCTTCAAGCCAGGAAAATTTGTGACCACCTTGTTTGTTAATCAGGTAATTTGACTTTTGTTTTCATTTTCTTTGGCAAGGGGGAGTCATACTGGAACAGAACCCAAAGCTTTAAGTATGCTGGATGGGCACTCTGCTGCTCTACCTCTGATTCTTACTGACAGTAAAGTCTAAAAGTAAATGGGATAGTGACGGTTAGGACAAGATGTGCTTTGTAAGATACACTGAGTCACTCAGGTACACAGCAGTACTGTTTACTGAGCTTATTGGCAGATGGGGAAACCTTCTGTTGATTAGATTCTATCTAACATTATTTGTCCCATAGCCAACTAATGAGTCTAGTAGAAAAGAGAAGATAAAATGCCACAGTTGCATTAAAGTAGTGGGTTTTTTTTTATTTGTTTTGTTTTGTCTTTGTGAGACAGGGTCTCCCTACAGCCCCAGCTGACCTGAACACACTATGTAGACCAGGCTGGCCTTGAACTTACAGAAATCTTCCTGCCTCTGCCTCCCAAGTGCTGGGACTAAAGGAATGCGCCACCATGCCCGGCAGAATTTTTTTTTTTACTGCTTAACTATGTTGTTTGAAGATCTAGAGACCAGAAGCACAGAAATAACTAATGGTTATTTCAATTTTTCTCCAGAGTTCTAAGTGTCGCACAGTGCTTTCTTCACCCCAGAAGATTGAAGGTTTTAAACGTCTTGATTGTCAGAGCGCTATGTTCAATGATTACAATTTTGTTTTTACCAGTTTTGCTAAGAAGCAGCAACCACAGCAGAGTTGATTAAGAAAAATGAAGAAGAAAAAACGCAAAAAGAGAAGACACATAGAAGGTGGTGGTGGTGGCTGCTTTCTAGATGTTGATACTGGAGGCCGTGCTTTCCATGATCACCACCTCGTAGTTGCAGAAAGCCCTAGGTGTAATGATAGTGTAATCATTTTGAAGTGTATGCATTATTATATCAAGGAGTTAGATATCTTGCATGAATGCTCTCTTCTGTGTTTA